GGCCTCGAATGGAGATCCTCAGATCTCAGCCTCCGGAGGAGCTGGGATGCCAGGCGGGAGCCACGGGTGCCCGGCTGGGGTGATCTTTTTCTGTATGTGAAAATGAAAGTTCTCAGCCTCCCTGTGCCCCGCTGAGAGTTCTGACTGGTGGATGGGAAGAAAGGGCTTCTGCTCTCTCTCTGTGTCCTTCCTCTCTGGGATTCTCTCCTACGAATCTCTGGATTATTCGCCATCGCTGGTTTTAACTCTGGACACCTTTGTCATGGTATTTCCTTGTTAAGTCTCTCCTGTGTCCCGGGAAAGCTGTTAGATTTCCATCTCGGCCTGCAGGAGGTTAGAGGCGGCCTCTGTTGTATGGATCCGGTAGAAAATTCTCGCACAAAATCCTACAGACAGAGCCCAAACATTTAGACCCGTGCGGTCAACCCGATGCCCCAATCCAAAAACGGCCCTACCTTCTGGAAGCAAATACATATTAAGATTATTCCTCTGGCTGTCTCAGGCACCTACTGCTGTGCTTAGAATGTTCTAGAAGCTTCATGGATCTTTGTGGAATGAATGAATAATCATCAGGACCAATGAAAGAAGGCAGGCTTTGGTCCGGCACCCCTGGGAGAGGCTGGGGGCGGATGTGGGTTTCATCATTCAGTCTTCAGAAAAGTTTTCCATGGTAGTCAGACATATTCCAACAACCACAACAGAACAATCAGACACTCAGGACTAAGCTGACATTTACACGCAGGTGAACTGCATTGTTATGGTGAATGCTTCACCCTGTCTAGCTACCTCCTCGTATTTATTAATGTGCATCAAAAACTACATTCAGCGCACGAGACTCTGATTTCCAAGGCGCTAGCAAAAAGCTGGAGTGGAGGAATAGCTCAGGCGGTCGAGCACCAGCCTTGAGGACAAAGCTCAGAGACAGCGCCCAGGCCCTGAGTTCAAGTCCCAGGATTGATACTAACCTCCCCCCCACCACACCAAACCAAACCACACACATGCCAAAACAACCAGAACAAAAAGCTAAGGGGTATGAGAACACTTGGTGTGGAATTGAATTTTCAGTTCTTTTCTGAGCTTCAGAAACCGAGTTCGTGTCTCCTTGGTTTAAAGGGGTTTGGTATTTTCTTGCCTTGAGACAGAGAAAAGCTAGGAGGTAAGTAATTAGATAATTATTAGGAAGGAAAACCATGTTGCTTTCAAAGGAAACCCAGAGCTAAGGTAAGAAACAAAATTGGGGGGCTAGGAAGGTGGCTCAGTGGCAGAGCGCTTGCCTTGCATGCCTGAGGCCCTGGGTTCGAGTCCTCAGCACCACATAAGCAAAAAGAAAAAAGCGGAAGTGGCGCTGTGGCTCAAGTGGTAGAGCGCCAGCCTTGAGCGAGAGAGCTCAGGGACAGCGCCCAGGCCCTGAGTTCAAACCCTAGAACTGGCACACACACACACACACACACACACACACACACACACACCAAAACACAGCTGCACCAGCATTTGGACACACCCCAGCCGAATGGAAATTCATAGGCAAGGAGAGAGACTGCGGTGAGAGAAAAGAAAATGAATGAGAGAAGGAATTAAGGAGGAGCTGCAGGGGGAATTCTACCTAAATCAACTTCACGCTGGTTTTCTTTTTTTTCCCTGAAGCAAGCTGTTAGGAACAGGGAAGGGCAGGGAAAGGATTGTTTACTTATGCATTTGTTTGTTTGTTTATTTATTGCCAGTCCTGGGGCTTGAACTCAGGGCCTGGGCGCTGTCCCTGGGCTGCTTTGGCTCCAGGCTGGCGCTCTCCCCCTGGAGCCACACACAGCAGCCCTCCACTTCCAGCCTTTTCCAGCGGTTCTTTGGAGATCAGAATCTTCACAGACTCCCCCAGCTGGCTTTGAACTGCGATCCTCCAGATCTCAGCCTTCCGGAGTAGCTGGGAATGCCAGGCGTGAGCCAGGGGGCCCGGCATCTTCATTGTGGTCTTGTAATCTTCAATAGAGGTGCTTCAATTCTCCTTCTAGAGTTGTTCGGCAGGGTGACACATGATATCACAGCTGATTCTTCTCAGTTCAAGTGTTACCCCTATTTCTGGGTCTTGGTCTATCTTTTAGAGTTAAAAAATAATATCCCTACCCTCCTCCCCCCCCCAAATTAAACCATGGTAGGCATTTCTACCCACAGATTGCTGGACCTGGTCGAGTTGGGCTACCCATTCTAGACATAAGTCGTATTCCAACCCCCAGTGACACCAAGTTCTGTATTGTTGGATTCTTTGCTCTTCTGATGGATAGATGTGAATGAGCCAATAGGAGGGGAGGATACAAACCGAACCACCAAGAAGCAAAACAAAGCCATGGTTGATTCTGCCATGAGCTCCCTGGCCAAGTTGTCTTCTCGGCTGCCATTGGTTGAAGGGGTCTCACTGCTGATCAGGAAAGATTCGGGGAAGTACCACGTGGCTTTCCTCAGCTTTTTGCTGGTGTGACTCATTTCCCCCTGCGGCGACAGGACCGGCACCCTAAAAGCTATCTCCTTTGTCTTCTTCATGTATGTACGATGAGCTTTGACGTGATAAAGTCAAGCCTTTCTATTTCATTATGGCAATGGCTATGTCTGGGGAAGATGAACGAATAATCACAAACAATGGCATTATAGAGAGACTGTGACTAAGGCTGTGTATTCATTTGGTACCAAATGAATTGTATTCTCTTGTTATTCAGGATGGAAATGCAGAGTATTGGCAAAGCTAGAGTAGAGACTTGGGGCTGGGGGCTCAGCTACCCAGGAGGCTGAGATCTGAGGATCGTGGTTCAAAGCCAACCCCCAGAGTAGGAAAAGTCCGTGAGACTCTGATCTCCAAGGAACTAGCAAAAAAAAAAAGCCAGAAGTGGAGCTGTGGTGTGGTTCACGTGGTAGAGCACCAGCCTTGAGCGAAAGAAGCCCGGAATAGCAGCCCAGGTCCTGAGTTCAAGAGTCAGGATCAGCACAAAACCGACCCGGAACAAAACACAGGACGCGGCATAATGGGGTTCAGGGACACACTCAGTCAGAATTGTCATACCTCGGGGTGTCCTGGGCCCCCCGAGGGTTTATTTCTTCACTAATTTATGTCCTTACACCAATCTGGGTCCTGACATAGATTTGGCTGCTATTAGTGGTTTAGTTCCTGGCTAATTTTTTTACTGCTATTTTTAATCTTGTTTTTCTTCCTCCCCCCCAAAAAAGAACACCTTTCCTTCCTTCCTTCCTTCCTTCCTTCCTTCCTTCCTTCCTTCCTTCCTTCCTTCCTTCCTT